AAGCAAATGGGGTGAAGGGAACAAATTGACATCTGGGGTCTCTCAGGGAGAATGGAAACAGCCGTCTGGGTCTGATGAACTGAAGATTGGAGAATGGAGTGGTCCAAACCAACCAAATTCTAGCACTGGAGCATGGGACAATCAAAAAGGCCACCCTCTTCCTGAAAACCAAGGCAATTCCCACGCTCCCTGTTGGGGAAGATCTTCCAGCTCTGCAGGAAGTGAGGTTGGAGGTCAAAGCACTGGAAGTAACCACAAAGCAGGAAGTAGTGACAGTCACAATTCTGGACGCCGATCATACAGGCCTACACATCCTGATTGCCAGGCAGTCTTGCAGACTTTGCTGAGCAGGACTGATTTGGACCCTCGTGTGCTTTCAAACACTGGCTGGGGCCAAACTCAAATAAAACAAGATACTGTGTGGGATATTGAAGAGATGCCACGGCCAGAGGGGAAATCTGATAAAGGAACTGAGGGGTGGGAGAGCTCTACCACACAGACAAAGAACTCAGGGGGCTGGGGGGATGCACCCAGCCAAAGCAATCAAATCAAGTCTGGATGGGGTGAGCTCTCAACCCCAACAGAGTGGAAAGACCCCAAAAATACAGGAGGGTGGAATGACTACAAGAACAACAATTCTTCTAACTGGGGAAGTGGAAGACCAGAAGAAAAACCATCCTCCTCTTGGAATGACAACTCCAACAAGGATCAAGGGTGGAGTGGACGGCAACCTAATCAAGGATGGTCTTCAGGAAAGAATGGTTGGGGAGAAGAGGTTGACCAAACAAAAAATTGTAATTGGGAAAGTACAGGAAACAAACCAGTGTCGGGTTGGGGTGAAGGAGGACAAAATGAGATCGGGACTTGGGGTAATAGTGCAAATGCAAATGCTGCTTCAAAGGGTGGATGGGATGATTGTAAAAGAACTCCAGCATGGAATGAAGCTGGTCGACAGCCCAACTCCTGGAACAAGCAGCAGCAGCACCAGCAGCAGCAGCAACAACAACAACAGCAGGAGACTTCTGGCTCCTGGGGTCCACCACCACAAACTCCAGGTAATGGGCGACCTCCAAATCCAAACTGGAACAGTGGGCCACAGCCGTCTGCCCCCAAGGATGAGGAACCCAGTGGCTGGGAAGAACCTTCTCCACAATCGATAAGTCGGCAAATGGATATTGATGATGGCACTTCAGCATGGGGAGACCCCAGCAGTTATAACTATAAGAATGTGAACCTGTGGGATAAGAACTCTCAAGGAGGACCGGCCCCACGAGAACAGAGTCTGCCTACTCCAATGACTAGCAAATCAACTGCATCAGGTACTGTTTTACCTCCGTGAAACAAGATGTCTAAATGTTTTTGCATTCTTCTGATCTCTAATAGTTTTGATCCATTAGCAGACTTAAACTCTTATGTAACTGTTTGGCTACACGTACAATTATGATTTATTTGTAATGTGATTGTACTCTGAAGAGTAGCTGTGAAAATAGAACCAGTACATTCCACATTTTATTGTCTCTAAATGACTTCCATCTGAATGCTGCTCAGTTTACAAGTAAAAGGATATGTTCTTTCTCTGACAGCCCTGTAAACTCAACCTGAGATCTGAGAGACAAGACATATTCTTACTGGATTATACATCAGTACCAGGAAAACATTATACAGGCCAAATTTTGCCTTCCTCTACACCTGTTTAAAAAAAAAAAACAACCAAAAAACCTTAGTTTTCTTTAAAGGAATTGCCTTTGTCATATTGAAAAAAACATCCTTTGCTATGAAATTGGAATTTAGGTGACAAATGTGACTATGCATGAGCCATGTATTGACCTAGTTGACTGTCTTGTATTCGTTGGTTCTACCACGCTCGGAAGAACAAATAGAGGCAAAAAAAGATGTTTTTGATAATGCAGATATGTCAAATATGGAATTCACAGGACGTATATTAAGGTGGCATTCCACAGTCGCTTTTTGAACAGTATTTAGTTTTATGTATACTCTTAAATTTATCCTGGTTTTTCAGAATATTAAACCCTTGATACTAACAACTTGTCAGGGGAAAAGTTGTTTAATTAATGAATTCCTCATCTGAATCAGTGGTAATATTGTTTCTCCGTAGCACTGCTATTGAATGTCCTTTTCTATTCATTCCTAAATGGAGTTAAATGCCTGCACTGACTGTAGTGTGGAGAAGTTCTAGTGCACTTTTTGATAGCTTGAGCTACACCAGATAGTCAACTCTATCTAAAGGCAGAAATAGTACACTGTTCATTATTTTGAGCTGAATAGCAATGGGCAATTCATTTCATAACTGTTCTGTAATGAAAACTCTTTCTCCTTTGTGCAGTCTGGAGCAAAAGCACACCACCTGCTCCAGATAATGGTACGTCCGCCTGGGGTGAGCCAAATGAAACTAGTCCCGGGTGGGGTGAAGTGGATGATACAGGAGCATCGACTACAGGCTGGGGGAATGCACCCTCCAACACCCCGAATGCCATGAAACCTAGTGAGTATAGGCCACACACAAGCTATTTCTTTCATGATTCTATGGCTTTGTAATATCTGACTTGGGTATGGGTGAGGCAGGTGTATGTAGTGTCATCTTTTCCCAGTGAGAACTAGAAGGAACACTGAATGTTCTTTAAGATACTGATGAAGGCTGTCTGAATAAAGTACTTATAGTGACTACAAACTATGAAAAGCAAAGGGGAACTATATTTATAATAAAGTTTTATATACAGCTATGATACTTATGGTAATGACATATTTCTACCTCTACCTAAAAGCAGTTGGTTGCTTTTTCTCTCAGCAGCTTCTCCCTGGCTACACACCTAAGTACTTAATGTTGCGGAAACTGTTAGGCATGAAAAGTTGCTTATACCTCTTAAGAAAATTATTCAGTCCTTTTTTGCACCAACCCAAGAAAGCTGAACTTTTCAGTCATTTACTCATCATGTTTGAATCATCAGTAAATGAGCTCCTGCTGAGCTTGTAAGGGGAAAAAAACATTTTGAAATTAGGCTATTGATATGTACACAGTTTTGTTTACAAAAAAAATATTTCTCCCAGCAAAGGCTGGTTCATGAAGTTTTGTTCTGTTTTTTTTCTGTTAAAACAGGGAAATCTAAATGCCAAAAAAAAAAAAAGACTAAAAAAGTATTCTGAAACTTTGCTCCAAGTTTGTAATTCTGGTCAAGATTTTTGGATTCAGCCCCTTGTAGAGCAATGTGCCATAGTAAATACTTTGGTTCCAGTGTCTGATTCTGTGCTCTTCTCCCCTTACAGTCCTCCTTATTTTTCATCTTTCTGTTCTAATGGGTAGCCTTGTCCTCTGTGAATCTGTGAGAGCACAGGAGAGGGTAGGGATAGGTGGGTCTGAGACTGAGATTGGAGGTGGCAAGAGCTAAAAAGCTAGTTGCAGGGGATGGAGGTGAAAATAAAGATGAAAGAGAGATTTTGAACTAGTGGGGTTGAAGGAAGTAGATGGATGGCATAGAAAGGCCTGGTAAGTAGTCTAATGTACAGAGGGAAAACTGGGATTAGTTGGATAAAGAGCCAGAGAGGTGAGGATCATGAGATTGCATGAGAACCAGAGAGAATAAGAGCAAATAAGGAGTGGGAGTGTGGCGGGGGGGGGGGGCACTAAAAC